TCCCCAGGCTGAGGCCTCCTCCACCCAGAGCTGACGCCCATCCCCAGGCTGAGGCCTCCTCCACCCCAGAGCTGATGCCCGTCCCTATGCTGAGGCCTCCTCCAGTCTCCACCATACACACACACATACACGTATAAACACACATGAGCACATGCATACGCATGCACACACAGCCCATCTGGATGCTGGGACAAGGCCTCGCCAGCCACAAACAGCCGCAGGACCCAGTCGTCCTCCTCAGGCAGTCAGGCCCACTGCCCCACCAGCCACATGCCCGCAACTCAGACCACACCAGCACAGCGCCTCTGTGTAAGTTTATTACCAGAAAGCAAAAGATCAGACAGACTCAGAAAATAAATATCTGCAGAGAGGAAAACAAGCAGAGGGGAGAAAGCTCTGAGGGCCAGCGGGGCAGGGGCCCACAGGAGTACCTGGCCGCTTAGGCCCTGCCCAGAAGCGGGGGCTGGAGCGCCATACTCCGGCTAGGCCTGCGGGAGGCCACACACGCTGTCCCGGCACCGGCACCTCTGGATGTGCGTGTAGGTGTAGTCCAGCGAGCCTCCGTTGGGACAGTCCAGGACCACCTGGCGCTTGACGGTGCTCTCCTCCTTGCAGCAGGAGCAGCGGTGGTCCAGGGTCTGCGCCTTGGCCGAGTACCTGGAGGAGGGCGGAGCAGGGCTCGGAGCCTGGCTCTCCCACCCCGACCCCACCACTGCCCGCACAGGGCCCGCACAGCAGACTCACATGGAAAACGTCTCGCAGGACCCGGAGCAGTAGTTGGTGGTGACGTTCTTGGCACAGCCAGCGTGGGAAATTTCCTTGACAATGGGGACGGTGGCGCAGGGCACACTGGTATTCAGAGGGATGCCTGGGGCGCGGCAGGGTACCGTCTCACACCGGGCAGGCAGACACAGCCCTCCGCCTCCCATAGAGCTTCCTCCTGCCTCTCTCCCCAGAGTACACTGGTCTCATGGGTGGGGGACTCCCTCTCTGCTCCCACCCAGAGGCTACGGGTCACCCCACTCACATGTCTGGCAGCACTCGTTGGGCATAAATGTGATGGATCCCTACAGGAGAACAGAATAAGCCGGCAGCAGGACTGGGGGCCCCTTGGAGGGTGGTGCGCGTTGGGGACGAGCTGTGGGTGGGCGGGTAGGCAGGTGGGGGAGGGGTGGCGTGTGCGAGTGGGGGTGGGGTGCTCCTGCAAGAGGACCAGCCTCCCCACCAGCAGCCACTGTCCTGGCCTTAGGGGCCAGGCCCTGGCCAGCACACAGCCCGCGTGGATGCCCCCTCACCGGGACACAGCTGCTGGGGTCGAAGTCAGGGCAGGTGATGTTGGAGACGGAGGAGATGAGCTGGTTGTGGATCTCCACACAGCTGAAGAAGGTGCACTTGTTGTTGGGGTTCTTCTCTACATCCCCAGGCTGTGGACAGAGCAGAGCCAGGGCGGAGCCCATGGGTGGGGATGCCAGACCCCAGAGGCCACCCAGGAGACCAGCAAGGCCAGCACCTGAGGGTGCTGCTTCCCAGAAGCCAGGCAGCCTCCTGGGCCCAGAACCACCAGGGCAGCAGCCCTAGGGGCTATGGGTCAAGGCATTGGTCTGTGGCTCCCCAAATCAGTGTGGCCACAGCTGACTCTCCAAAACCAGGGAGTGACTATTTGAAAAAGGGCGCTGGAAGGTGTCATTAAACGAAGGATTTTGAGATGAGACCACCCTGGGTCAGCGTGGCCCTGCATCCAGTGATCAGTGTCCTCCAGAAAGAGTAGACCCAGACATGGGGAGAGGGAGGCGGGACAGGGCAATGGGGCCCAGCCAGGGACACCTGGAGCCCTGCGGTGGAGGCCCACGACTCTGCCAACACCCTGCTGGCGCCAGCCTGGACAGGGACGTGGAGCTCCGGAACCTGGAGAGTCTGCCTCTCTAGTGTGGCCACTGGTCACCACCCCCTGCTGCAGCAGCCCTGGGACTCTCCCACCCACCCTGCCCAGGACCAGGAGGCTTCAGCTGGGAGGGGCGGCATGTGCGCACCTTCAGGATGACGCGCTGGCCACTAGGCATGCTGATGATGCAGCTGGTCTGCTGGCACTTCCTGCAGCACTCGCCAGGGACCTCCACAGGCTCGAAGCCCTGGGGACACACACAGCGGGGCTGAGCTCCACGCTGGGGAGGGGCTGGGGGGGAGGAAGAGGCTGAGGTAGGAGGGGTGGCTCACAGGGTCGCAGGAGACGTTGCAGGGCACAGGGGTGCAGCTGATGATGTTGAGCTGGGTGCTGTTGTTGACCTCGTGGCTGCACAAGCAGTCCTGGCACTTGGAGGAGTACACTGGGGATCCGGGCTGTGGACGGGGGGAGGGCCAGGCCGTGAGGACCCTGCACACCCGCCCAGCCCAGCCCAACCCAGGATGCAGCTGCGCTGCCCACCACCCAGGGCGCACCTGGTACTCTGCGCTGTTGTGCACACACACCCGCTTGGGCTCTGGGGAGAAAGCACAGAAGGCCATCAGAAAGCCACCACCAGCACAGACCACACACGGGAGGCGCCTGCAGGGCTGCCTCCCGCCTCCCGCCCCTCCCTGACCCTTACCGCAGGAGTAGACTGGGCAGCACTGCCCGGGCACCATCTTGCTCTTCGCCTCAAAGCCCAGTGAGCATGAAGGGGGCTCACTCTTGCACAGGCTGGCATTGCACTCTGAGGTGGGACGGGACGTGAAGTGAAGCGTTAGGTTCCTGTGGGTGCCTCCACCCTCCCAGGCCAGCCCACCTCTCAGGTGAGCATGGCAGAAGCCCCACCCACAGAGGGCAGCAGAGACACCCAGGGCCAGTAGGAACAGGTCCACCCACCCCTGCCCCAGGGCGGTCTTACTGCACGAGGAGATATTGCAGCAGGTGTCAGCTGGGTTGACCTCAGTGACCAGGTAGGTGCCCTCCTCCTTGCACATGGGCAGGGCCTCCTGGCTGCACTTCTTGGGCTGGCAGGTGATGCCACTGCCACCCTCCAGGCAGATGCAGTCCTTGCAGTCGAAGACAAAGTGCTCCCCAAACTGCAGGGAGGACAGGTTGAGCAAAGGAGAGGAGGCCCTACTGTGCCACACCTCAGCTGCACCAAGTCCTGGCCCATGGCCAGCCAGGGAAAAGGGGCTGCTGTCAGGACACCACTCCCCAGCACTGGCCAGCATAGCCTGGCACAACTGACGAGCTAGGAGATAAGGAGTCAGCCACACAGCACGGCCACGCAGGAGACACAGACAGCACTGAAGTACCACGTTCACCTCGGGCTAGGCAGAGCACATGATGGGTGAGTGGGAGGACAGGCTGTGGGATGGACAGGTGGGGGAAGGTGGTGGGCGGTGGACAGGCAGATGAGCTCATAGACGGGTGCACAGGGGAGTGGAGAGACTGATGGACCTGTGTGACTGGGTGCAGGGGTGACAGACGGACAGATAACCCAGTGGATGGGTGGATGGGTGGAGGGAGGGAAGGATGAAAGGAGGAGGAGGATGGGAGGTGGGTGGGTGGATGGATGGATGGATGGATGGATGGATGGATGGATGGATGGATAAACCAAAGACGTGAATGAGGGGCTGGATGGGTGACGGATGGATGGACAAATGGAGTGTGTGGATTCCCTGCTCCCTACTCCAGAAGTCAAATATTCATTACTCAGTCCAGAAGCTCCTGGTTGTCCTGCCCTCTTCACCCTGGCCTGCCCCACCTCCCCAAATTCAGAACTTGTGAGAGAATCACACCTCCAGCACAAGGGGCTAGGCCTACCTCTCTGGGCACACTGTCGGGTCCCACGCAGCCTGGGAGAGAGAAACAATCGCATTAGCAGGGCCCCGGGGGTCAGCCTCGGTCACCCACCACACCCACCCTGACATGGGAGGGTGGGCAAGAGCAAGTGGCCTACCGCACATCTTCACGCAGACATCATAGCCAGGGGCGTAGTTTGTGGTGCCTTCCGGACAGAAGCAACCTTCCACCAGAACCGAGGAGTTCAGCGGGGAGCTGGAGGGGCAGAGGAGCCCTCAGAGGGTTGCGTGGGGCTTGTAGGCGCAGGCCTCGAGGGAGCGGGCTTGGTGGGTGGGCTCCTTGGGCATGGGCGGAGCCTAAAGGGAGCCCGCCCAGGCCCTACTCCTGCGAAGTCCCATGCAGCTACCTTGACGTGCAGGTGGGTTCCTCTGCGGGCCCGCAGGCCTGGTACTCCCTGTGAGCTGGACACATCACAGCTGCAGAAGAGAAACGAGTCTCAGAAGGGCCTCATCAGGAGGAGGGCCCTCCTGAGTACAGAGCCGCCCCTCCTTCCCACACAGGGCCCGCCCTCCGCCTCAGCCGGGCGGCGTTGCCGGACCTACAGAGCAGGCAGCAGGATTCCCAGGACGCAGGCTGTCCTCCACCTGAAGCGCGTCTGATCAAAGACCTGGGCTCTGACTACTGACTGGGTGGCCCTCCCAGGGCAGGGGCAGGCAAGGGGCACTAACCGCAGGACCCATTAGTGTGTCTCCGCCAGTCCACACAGAAGCCCTCCTGGGAGCAGAGCGCCGCATAGGCCTGCACGCTGGCACACTCCATGCCCGAGTTTGGCACGGAGCAGCTGTCAAATATGCAGGCTTCGTAGTAGTGCTGGGGAGGCACCAAGGCGTGGCACTGGGCAAACAAGCTGCACAAGGAGGGGTGGGTCACATTGTGCCTGCTTCTCCCCTCTCCCTCTCCCAGCCCTGTGCCTACACCACCAGAAAGGGACAGTGTGCAGAGGGAGGCAAGGGAGGCCAGGCTGGTCACGGGGCTGTGGAGGGGTACACCACCAGCCGACAGGGGTAGGGCTGCACCTCCAAAAGGCAGAGAAGCCCCAGCCTCGAAGCAGCACCAGCGCCCCAGCCGCCAACTCTGGACCCCTTCTGCGTCCAGGCCCAAGCCTCCCCAGTGTCAGCCCTGAGTGCCAGCTCTGTCTGGGTCACCTAGTTAGCCAGGGCTGCACTGTGCCAGGAGGCGGGAGAGGGGGTCAGAGCGCCCCGAGACCTGGTGCCCACCCACCATGCTATGGCCTCGGCCCTGCCCCAGCCCCGCTGTAGACTTCAGGAAGCGCAGAGGCCCCGCCACTCCCTGAGGCCCAGGCTGGCTACCAGCAGGACAGATCACCTGTCCTTGATGAGCTGGCAGATGGGAGACTGGGTGCAGTTGTCGGGTGGAGTTGTCTTGACAACTGGGCGCTTGGTGGTGAAGTCGGTGTGGGGACAGTGTGGCTTGGAGGGGTCGTTCACCACCCACTGGTCAGCAGCCAGCTCACAGTTGGAGGTGACCTCCCCGTTGGGCAGCACACAGTCGTCCTCTGTGCTGTTGGTGCAGGTGCCTGCCCCGGAGAAGGGACACGTTGCTCCCAGGCCAGGCCACTGCAGCCAGGGTGGCCAGGCCCAGACCCCTCCCCAACTTCACCAGGCCTGTGGGCACAGATCAAACCAGGCCAGCTGCTGTTGGGTCCCCACGGGGACCGCCCAGGGCAGTGGCCCCACACACAGGTGTGGAAGTCCCAGAGTTAGGCGGTGCAGGGCCCAGCGCTCACCACACTGGCCCTTGGTGTTGTTGCCAAAGCGCTTGTAGGGCAGCCTGATAGAGAAGGACAGGCCATTGTAGGATATGAGGGCGCCAAGCTCAGGGATGTCCACCAGGAAGTTGATACCCGACTCATACACCTTCAGCCCGTACTTCTTGTAGGGCAGGGCCACTGCCTGCTTGTTGATCAGCACCTGCAGCCGGCAGGACGGTCAGGAGGGCCACTGGGACCTGCCACCCTTGCAGCCACCCCCCACTTCCGTCCCATTTCCCAACTGGTCTTGGGCAAGCTGTGCAAAGCCTCCTCCTTGGAGCCCGGGAGGCTGGGGCCCACACGGGGAGCAAGATCCCCAGAGCTGGTGACCACAGGACCTGCTGTGCACAGTACACCCCACGCTGTGCTGAGGAGGGGCTGCGGCGCACGTGGGCAGAACAGCAGGTACCAGGGTACATCTGGTCCTCTGCTTGCTGGACCCAGTGGAGGCAGCTCACGCCACAGCAAGCATGGACGCTCCACATACCTGCACCTTCATGGGTGTCATCTGCAGAGTTTTGATCAGCACCTCCTGGGTCTCATGGCGCACGATGAGCGTGCGGGGGCAGGACACCTTGTCGTGGATGTCACAGTGGTAGTTGTCTACGTAGACACCGAAGTTGTCCACCGTGGAGGTGATCTCCTCCACTAGCACATAGGTGCAGTTGCCCTGGTAGCTGTAGTAGAGCCCATCAAAGGTGACGAAGTGCGGGTCTCCCCAGCCTGTGCAATAGCCTGTGGGGGTTTGGGGTGGTTCCAGGAGCCTGCTTCCCAGGCAGGGACCCTGGGCACCTGAGCACCCAGAAAAGCGAGCATCCCCCCCTCAGGCCGCCACAGCGTCTTCTGCAGAATTGAGGAGCTCCCAGCCCCAGTACAGAGGCAGCCTGTGGGCAAGCAGACTGGGACTGCATGCTCAGCCCTCAGCAATCCAGGTCAGCGCCCAGGAAGCCCCAGGGCTCCATGCCAGGAGGCCTCCCGTGGCACCCGCCCCAGAGGAGGGCCAGGGGACGAGGCTCACAGTCGCACTCCCAGTGCCAGCAGCAGCCATCAGGGTCCATGACTTGCACGGGCTTGAGGCCGTTGGAGCAGGTGGGCTTAGGCGGCGGCTTGCACTCCACCGGAATGATCTCCACCACGTTGTCGTACTTGCAGGTGGCCATTGTGCAGTTACACAGCCACCAGGTCTCATTCTCCTGTGGGCAGAGGGTGCCAGCCAGGCTGTACTCGGGGCTGAAGCCCAAGGGTGGCTTCTGGGACCCCAGGGCAGCCGCCACCTGTGCACCGAGGCACCCACCCAGGACAGCCTGCACCAAGGCTACAGGGAACCTCACCCCATTGGGACTGGGGCAGGCCAGGTGGTGGGAGCGTCGTGGGCCGGGAAAGGTGGCATCTCAGCCCTCAGAACCTGGACACAGACCACTTGGAACTGGGGACAAAGCCAGCCCTGCCCACTGACCTGTCTTGGAGGGATGAAGTCTAGGCACCCTGGAGGCTTGGTGGTGACCGGTGTGCTGGACGTTGGCTTGGAGGGCGTGGGTGTGGGTGTGGACGAGGAGGACGTGGGTGTGGACGTGGACGGTGTGGGTGTGGACGTGGAGGGTGTGGGTGTGGACGTGGAGGGTGTGGATGGGCAAGACCAGTTGAAGAACTGGAGTTCGCAGTCCAGGGAGCAGTTTACATAATAGCAGGTGTTCCCGTGTGTTCCGTTGTACACCAGCTCGCCTGCAGGGAAGAGAGAGGCCCAGTCCTCACACTGCCCAGAGGCAGGGCCAGTGGAGGAGTGGGGGCTGCAGGAGCCCCTACTGTGGTGTCAACCTGTCCCCCAAACTCCCCCCCCCCGCCAATTCATATGGTCATGGCATTTGGAGGGGCATTGGCAGGCAGGATTCCAGAGGTCCTTAGGGGAGGGCGCTGCATTGCATTAGTGGCTTTGTAAACCAAGCAGGCAGATGGACACCTGAGCTAGCAGTCTGTTCATCCCCACTCCAGCATGTTCCTTGGCCACATCGTGGCACCAGACTCTGCTCTTGGAATTCCAGCCGCCAGAACTGTGTGCTCAACAAACCTCTACTGTTTGTAAGTTTTCTGGGCTCAAGTATATCACTACAGCAGCAGAAAAGGGATTAAACTACCCACCATGCCCCCCTTGTGTGGAGTCCTCACACTCCCCCCTCCTTGGGGAACACTGCCGCTGAAGCAAAGACATCCTCCCAGCCCAACCTCCTGCCTTTACAGCAAGCTCCTAGTCAGGACTTGCCCTAGTTCCTAACTTAGCAAGAAGAGAGGAAACAAAACCATCCTCAGCTGCCTGAGCATCAGAACAGGAACAGCATGGGTACCTGGGAGATAGTAGGTGCCATTCAAGAAGCAGCACAAGACGGAGGGACTGTATGTCCAGCCGCTGCTGGGAGTCTCGATCGGTGTGGTGTCTGATATGGTCGGCTCCGTCGAGGAGAGGCTGGTCTGGGTGGAGGTGACTGCCGTGGTCGTTGGCACAGTAGGGGGAATAGAGGTGGCAGGAGTAGAGGTAGGACTGGTGGTGTTGGTCGTTGTGGTGGTGGGTGTGGTGGTCAGGGTCCCTGTAGTGCTGGATCCTGGAGTTGGGGTCATGACTTCTGTGGTTATGATGGTGGGTGTAATTGTGGGAGTCTCTGGTGTGGTGGTGTGAGTCACCACAGTTGTAGTGGGTCTGGGTGTTGGGATCTCTGTGGTTGTGGTGGTAGGTATTAGTGTTGTGGACATCGATGAGTCGTGTAGGTATACGCCTGTTAGTGTTGTGATTTCTGTGGTAATGGTGGTAGATGGAGTTGTGGTCTCAGGTGTGTAAGTTGTGTTCTCTGTGACAACAGTGGTGGATGTTAGGGTCTCTAGTGTCATGGTTGGGGTCACAGTGGGTGTAGTAGTGTGGGGGGGCGTTGTGGTGTATGTGGTTATGTTGGGTGTGGGTGTTGTGGTCTCTGGAGTGGGTGTTGGTATCACTGTAGTTGTGGTGGTGGGTGTGGGTGACGTGATCTCTGTGGTTGTATTGGGTGTGGGTGTTGTTGTCTCTGTGGTTGTGGTGGTTGATGTGAGAGTGGTGGTCTCTGTGGTAGTGGGGATAGATGTGGGTGTTGTGGTCTCTGGTGTGGGTGTTGTGGTCACTGTGGTTGTGCTGGTTGTGGGTGTTGTCTCCGTAGTTGTGGTGGGTGTGGGTGTTGTTGTCTCTGTGGTTGTGATGGGTGTGGGAGTGGTGGTCTCTGTAGTTGTGGTGGTTGGTGGGGGTGTAGTACTCTCTGTGGTTGTTATTGTCAGTGTGGGTGTTGT